GCCGAAACATTTGAAACATTGTATACTGCTTGTCGACCCTCCCGGTCTTTCGTGAGTCACCGGAGCAGTCGTTCGAGGCCCCACTTTGGTCCCGTCCACCTTGTTCTGTTCGGCAGTGGCTAACGGAGGATGTTCAGAGGCCGGTTTTGACGTTGAGTACCTCCTTCCCATGCTTGATCGCTGCTGTTTCTCCACCTTGATCGCCATATGTACAACTTCCTCAAGTTCCACGAACTGACGCAGCTCTATCTCATTCCTTATGTCTCGATTGAGACCATGGAGGAACCGAGAGATCGTGGCTTCCCGATCCTCGCGAACATCGGCACGCAACATCAATAGCTCGAGCTCCTTAAAGTATTCGTCCACGGAGCGTATTCCTTGTCGAATGCCCTGCAAAGCATCGAACAATTCTCGCTGATAATACCCCGGGACAAATCTGTCTCTCATCAAGCCTCGCAACTCGTTCCAGGTTGCGATTGGAGGCTGTGAATTTTGCCTTTTCCGTAGCTGCGTTTTCTCCCACCACATCGCTGCATAATCCGTGAACTCGTACGTAGCGCTCTGTACCTTCTGTTCTTCCGTGTAATGGCCGCATTGAAAGAATAGAATCATCTTTCTTTCACAATCAAGGTAACTTGTCGCATTGGTGGAGCCATTGAATGAGGGAATCGTCAATTTGATTCCTCGTAACTCTGTTGCTGGTCCATACTCTGTTTCAGGAGGTCGACACTCATTCTCGCGAAATTCGTGAAGACGCACTCGTGGATCCGTCTCGGTAACGACCAGGCGACATTCCAAGTCTTGGAGTCTTTCATTGACGTCGTTATTGGCTTCATTGGCGCGATTCCCGTTTCCCACAGGAGTCGAATTGTTCGCTGCTGGGTTGCCCTGTTCAGCAGAGAAGTTTGCTGGCCGCGACAAAGCATCCAAACGACGATTTATCTGATCAAATTGGGCCTGAAAGGTCACATTGAGATGGGCAGTAAGAGTCTGCATAAGCTCGGTCATGTTTACTTGTTGCTCGGCCATCTCAGGTGTGTCGTTGTCTTGCTCGTCACTGGACGACGACGAGCTCTGCTCGGGAGTTCGATTAGCTATAGGGTACTTTGCACGTGTCCGGGCAACAACGGGTAATGCCGCCCTCGACGTCTTGTCCACTGCGTTGAACCAAGGCTGCTGATGCCACTTGATATACTTCCCAACCGAGAAGCTGGACAAATCGAATCCTCAATTCCTTGAAATCGAACTTGGCGGATGAATTGGGAAGAACGCGTACAAAACAGGGAAAAGAAAGGCGGAGTTGGGTTGTGCAACTTCAACACCGACGTTCGGGGAAGAGGCTCGTCCCAATTGAAAAGGCAACCTGACCACGATTGAGGTGATGACTCAATCGATACAAGGCTCGCTCGTCGCTGGAAAACAATCCACACAACAAGGACAATTCTTTGAGCAAAACACTCAATGAACTAAGTTTTCGATTAATAATGTACTGACCTTACAATGGAGTTCTAAGCCTTTAAATAGACCAACTTAAACCTAATTCAACTACAAAACGAACAAGGAAACATAAATTAACTATACTACGATTAAGGTAAGACTCCAAACTCGTCCAAAGAAGCCCTTCTTCTAGCTCACGTAATCTGCCTCCTACAGGAGGCTCCATAGCTTCTTTGGACCTCTCGTTCACAACCTTCCATGCCTCCATCCTCTTAACCAACACCTTGCCTCTGTAGAGAAAATTATAGAATTTCATGTCGGGCAAAACAATTCCCTTGAATCGACTTCATCTGCCCGGAATAGAGCTCCAAAGTGACCTTCCTGACAATGCCTCCAGACTTAGCCAAATTCTGGCAGTTTGCAAGTTTTGAGATAGCTACTTTAAGGTATTAAAAAGCAGTCTTAATGACATTGTACGAACCCCAAGCCCATACCATCTTGTTCAGGAAGTCTTCATCTTCAAAATGACGCCCTAAACTCCCATTTCCATCCACCCATTTGAAAGAAACCGATCTCCCAAAGTTGGCTACCTGAACACGTCAATATACTTGGCCAAAATTGCAGATTGCTCAGATGAGTTGGGCTAGCTTCATGTGCAAGTAATTCGAGCTTGGTAATGACGCAATTCTGGGTTGTATCAAAAAGACCCATTTGCCCCTAACTATTTATCCTATTTAGAAAACCATGCCATTGGACTGCAATTAAATGGGAAGAAGGCCTTACCTCCATCCCGTCGCCATCGACTCCCAAAACCTCCCGGCTCCGGCCGCCGCCATCCTCCCCTCCATCAAGCTCATTGCCGGTCCACTCCTCTAGCTCCTCCTCCTCCTACTATGGCCTTCCTGCCGTCGGCGGTGGATTCGCCTCTCCTTCTCACTAGTTTATACTTCCTCGTGACTCATTCTCCCCCACTCGTCTCGTAGTTGCTTAAGCTAGCACCTCTCGTATATAGACGGTAAGCAGCCGCCTCAGCTCTCTGTAACATGGACTTCCCAACCCTCATTCATCTCCTACTAGCTTGCTTCGCCAAGCTGCTCTCGTGTATGGGAGAGAAGCATACAAGTCTCCTATATGGGAGGGAAGCAGGTCTCGGGCCACAAGTACCCTTTCTTTTCCTTTGGTCGATTACGTTTCCCTTTCCTTTAACTCCTCGATTATAACCGCTGATAATGGAAATCCATCAATCATGATTAATTATATTCCAATTACCCCTTAAAACTTCTTTCGGTTTCGTCTTGCAATTGAGGATAACCGTAACGACAATCATCCATCTCCCCATCCCGAGTTCCATTGTGGCTCTGTTGTGTTTTCTTTCTCCCCCTGCAGCAGAGGAGGGTTCATTTCCAACAAATAGGCTTTTTCTTCCACCCACGTCCAAGTGACTGCCTGCAAAGCTCTCGGACCTCGGCCCACTCCATCCTTTCTCCTTTTAATTACACCCAATCCGCCTGGCCCATCGTGAGTCCATAACAAAACCAGTTACCTAAGGTCAACCCAATTAGTAGAGCCCACTCATCTTAGGTCAAGCTTATTCGGTGTTGTATCGGTTTAACCGCAAAACCGCTAGCGTTTTTCCACCCCTACTAATAATGGTTACTTCTCGAACAACCATGCGTGAGGACTACTTGGGGTGTGAGAGAAGTGAATAGAGATGGTAGACATCGACGATGACAATGGATGTGCCATTGATAGCAACAATTGAAGACTTCTTTTGTATTAGAAAGATCCAAAAGGATTGTGACTCATTACTACATAACCTCGAGAGCAAAGGAAAGAGACCGTTTTTTATTTTCTCAGGGATCAACAGTGAGTAGTTTTAAGCGGATTTTAGTGAATTTTAAATCACTCACTAGTTAGTGGATGAAGGATAAATTGACCTACACTCACCCATTACGTTGTGTTGAAAGTCCTTATTTGAGGCCTTTGAATACTTCTTTGTCGCTTTTGAATACTCGATCGACGCCTATGATGCGTTTTTATAGGCATCAAATGAGTATTAAAAAACGACGAACAAGTATTCAAAAGTGTCGAACTAGTATTCTCATCTTTGACACCAACAAATATTACACACAAATAAACACACATTAATAGGCGTCGAACAAATATTTGAAAGTATCGAGCTAGTACTCTCATCTCTGAAACCAAGAGAGAGAAAGAAATATTAAAAAATGGAAAAGAAATATGAGTGGACATTAAATGCCAATTAAATTGTGGAATCCGCCCGGTGATAAGGTACTTGGCTTCTCTCCTCTTTTCTTATCTAAGCCCTTCTCAAAATCAACCAATTCCAAACCTCAAACTCAATTAGTAGGATGTGACCTCCAATCTCACCCTGAGGAGAGCACCCTAAATTGCTCGATTGAGATTATTGGGAAGGGAACAAGGGAAGGCTTGCCGACTGCCGTGGTAAGAGCCACAAACGACACGGTTTGAAGTTAATCAGCAGTGCAACAAAGTGATCAGGGGGATAAAAACGATACTCAATAGTGATGGCAATTTGAACTCGCCCCTAGTCGAGTCAAGTTTTACCCCAGTTTGAGCTCGACTCATTAATAAACGAGTTGCGCTCGAACTCGGCTTGTTTCGAGCTAGCTTAATAAAATCTTGACTCGTATTTGATATATTCATTTTGTATGTCATTCATGATACATGTGATTAATGTCAAGATGATGATAATAATAATAATAATAATAAAAGTTAAGGGTTCAATATTAACTAATCTCATTTTATACTTTGTGGTATCGAACTATTTAGTTGATAAATTTTAACTAGTGAAATTATGTTATTTCATAGTATCGAGCAATCTATGATATATTATTTATTTTAAAAATTAAATAAGATATATTTGCTCACATAATCTACGTGTTAAACTTCATATAGGCGAGATATATAATTTAACAATCCTATAAATTATCAAAATCAAACTCATATAGATCAATTCGCTCATAAATAGGTAATCGAGTTGGCTCTCTAGCCACAATGTTGAGAGTTGAGACATCTCATGAGCACTAAAAGAGTAAGCTCACGAGTTGAGCTCAACAAGCCACTGAGTCGAGCTAGCTCGCGAGCTCCACGAGCTGCAGAAGGCTAAGCTCAAGCTCAACTCATTAGTAAACGCGCAGAGTTTCGAACGAGTTTTTCCCGACTCGAGCGTCGAGCCGCTCGCGAGCAGCTCGGCTCATTTGCAGCCCTAAATATACTCGATCTTTCAACTATTTAGACTTAATTACTTGTTCTATTATCACTATTTTTCATTAATAAAGTGTTCTCCTTCGTTTTATCATAAAAGGTAAAATTGTATGTATATTTTTTTCACATAACATGAAGTGTGGATCGACCACCCTATCAGTATCCGCACGGGTATTACCCCGATCCTGCTATCCATAGTAGCGTAGGGCAAGAGTGAGACATGAGTATTGAGAGCCCCGCCCCGTCCCGTCTCATTGCCATTACTAGCACTCAATAAAGTCTAGCGAATGAGTATCAGCCACGCGTAACCCCGTGAAACAACTTCAAACGGCTTGTGGTGGAATCGGGGCAGGAAACGAAAAGCAGCTTCCTTCTCATTTCTTTCTGCGGTCCATCCCCAACAGGGACGCGCTTAAGCAATCCATCCCTTCCCGGCTTCTCTAAAATCAATATCTGCTCAATCGAAAACCCTAATTTCCCCCATCCCTCAACCCTGCCCGATCCATCAATTTTGTGCCTCTTACACTACGATTTTGCAGGTTTGCGAATTACGATCTTTGCTCATCTTTTTCTGCTCGGTCTTTCCCTTCGTGTTGTGGGTTTTTTTAATTTTCGATCGATCAGAATCGTTCTATGCTTGGGACGATTGCGGATTTTCAGAATTAGGGTTTTGATCAATCGCGGGTTCTTGATTTTTGGGCTTGATTTGGCAGATCAGGGCAGGAGGGATTTACTTCGATATAGTTGAAAAATGTTTACCAGGATATTTGGCAAGCCTAAGCAGGAAGGCAATGCCCTGGCCACCTTGGATAAACTGAATGAGGTAAAGATTCATGCTTTCTATCTCATCCTTCTCGTTCAGGTGCTTTCGTCTTTGTTGTGTGTGTGTTCGTGTGGGATAATGATTCGGTGGTGGCCTTTATTCGTTGCGTTGAAGAGCTGCTTCTTTTTGCTTTGAATGCTCTCGTGCTACTATCTTCTGGGTTATTGCTCGATTGTGGGTAACGGAGCTTGTAGTTATGAATCTAATTTGTTTTTCTCTGGATAAGCGATAGGATGCGTTAGGAATGGTTCAATTGTATTGGCAGGTGTGGGGTTCTCGCGGATGTTTGTTAAAACTATATTATGTAGCTCTGCGATGTGATGGGAGCAACCTGAAATGATGTCTGCTAGAGTCCAATTGTCTTCTGCCTCCTTTAGTTTCAGAACTTGTATAATTTTTGTTTTACAATTTTCACCCTTTCATTGTGTGAGTTTGGCTTCTGTTTTGTTAGTTGATGCTTGTTCTGGGGTTTCTCGCTATTTGGTCTCACTATTACCTCGTAATTGTGTAGACACTTGAAATGCTCGAGAAAAAGGAGAAAGTGCTTCTCAAAAAAGCTTCTCAAGAAGTTGAAAAGGCCAGAGAATTTGCACGAGGAGGAAACAAAAGGGGTATGATAGTATCATGCATTGTAGTGCTTCTATTTATAGAGATGACTTGGTGATGCAATTTCTTTTGGCTTGTTTACTATGTTTGTCATACAACAGACCAGCATTAAGTTGTCCATTGCGCAATTTGTATGGTGTTCAACCCGTGAGTTTGGGTAGGAAAAGAAAGAGTCTTTGTTTTCTTTTCATGGATGTTCTCACTATAGTGATGTGTATTTGCTTGTTCGATGGATACCTAAAACTTTGTATAGACTTGAGTCTTGATGGGTGTGCTTGCTTGCTGATGAGTACTGCTTACTGCAGCTGCCCTCCAGTGCTTGAAAAGGAAGAAGTTGTATGAACAGCAAGTAGAACAGCTGGGGAATTTCCAATTGAGGATTCATGATCAGGTGACGTATTTTTACAGTGCATGCTATTTTGCTGTAAGGGCAAGCTCTAATTATGGCTTTGTTAAATCTTATGTGACAGATGATAATGTTAGAGGGTGCAAAAGCCACTACTGAAACTGTAGATGCATTGAGAACTGGAGCAGCTGCAATGAAGGCGATGCAAAAAGCAACGTATGCAGAATTTTTTTTACCATAGCTTTATGTATCCGCCGAGAGATTGTTTGTTTAATAAGGTGAAGTACATCTCTGTAATGGTTTTCTTGATTACAGAAATATTGATGACGTGGACAAGACCATGGATGAAATCAATGAACAAACCGAGAATATGAAGCAGATCCAAGAAGCATTGTCAACTCCAATTGGTTCTGCAGCTGATTTCGATGAAGTAAGTTCACATGGATGGATATTTTGAGGATTCTTGTTTACCATTATTGTTTTTTGAATTACAAATTAAAACATCGGTGACTCTGCAGGATGAATTGGAGGCAGAACTTGAAGAGTTGGAAGGTGCTGAGTTGGAAGAACAACTTCTACAACCTGCAACCACAGCTCCTGCAGCTCCAGTCCACGTGCCTGCAGGAAAACAACCTGCTCGTCCTCTTCCTCAAAGGAAGAACACCAAGGAGGAAGACGAACTTGCTGCCTTACAGGAAGAAATGGCGCTCTAAAGCAGGTTCTTACCCATCGCTCCCTCTGTTGGATTGCACATATTGGTATTTGGTTGAGTGTATGTGCACAAGTGTTATTTACAACATAATGCTTGAACAAATATATATCGTCTTTCTTAGACACCTTTTTTTTATTATTATTATGTATTTAGCTCTGTAAGTCACTTGCCACAAATTTGTGTTCTTTTCTGGCACAATTTTCCTTGCAAATGTCCTTCACCAAATCGTTTTTTTGCAAATATATGTCGTATATCTACATGTAAAATAAATAGCATGCAACTGAACCAAACACACTCTTATAAGTTTAAGCGAATCAGCTGGTAGTGATTTGCGGGGATTGACCTCTGTTGGTTCTATTTATTGTATGCAGGGAGCTAGCTGCCTGTGGAACACGGTAGAGAACTCTTTTGAAGATGGGTCATTTCTGTATCATGGATTTCTCCTTCAAACTCTCCATTTCATGCATCTTGTGTGTGGCATTGAACGGTGGACCCTTGTATATAAGGATCTTGGAAACTTGACAACAAAGTTCTTGATAAATTCGCAATGCTCTCTCTTTATCTCTTTGTGAGCTTTTGATCATGCTTCCCCATATTTTCTTCACTTCTCGGTTTATGTTCCGTCTCAGACTCAGTCCTCCTGTGCTGTGATCATCGGATGTGTATCATTGATAACATTAATACCAACTGGGTAGCCTTGCATTATCATTTAGGTCAATACTTGAAGTGAATGATGAATATATAGCAATTTCTGCTTTATGGCTTTATTTGTAGTCTTGGGTGTATCTACCTGAGGTTTAGCATGGAAAGATGGTCGATATCAGTTCAATAAAGCCCAAAAAAAAAAAAACCCCCTGCATCAGAAGCAAGGTAGCACTGCAAGCCTGACCAACTGGCTTCAAATTCCACCGATTTCCACTACAATGTTCTTTGCTTTAAATCTCGTACGTGAACAAGTTCTTAAGCTACTGTGCCGCTTGGGGAAGTTTCTTTGAACACCATTACCTCAATGTGAATATTTTGTCTGCCATCTTTGAAGCATGATTACAGCAACCAAGATTAAGGTATCTTTGACTATGAGGTGAAAGTACTTGTTCATTATTTGCAGCTGCATTGGCGACATCAATAGCTTCCTCTGCAAAATTCAAAACCAACAGATGTTTTCTTTTTGGTAAAAGACAGACGCATGAGGTGTCTTGGCTCATATTAGGGCTACGATGTTGTTGAGAAATTCTCATTACATCAAACAAGATCCAGTGCCGGAGTCCCGGATAGTGCATACCGATCGGATGTGCACCAAAAGAAAGACTATGACCCATATTGGCCAGAAAGTCAGCTGCATTATTACATTCTCTATAAATATGCATAATGTTCACAGTCCAATCATGTGCCAAAAGACGTTTAATTTCCATAGTGATTAACCCATGTTGATGATCCACACCATGACAATTCCTTATGATATTGATTGTTGTGGTTGAGTTCATGTAGAGGCAAACCTTCCTGAAGCCCTTCTGTCACGTCATTGCAAGTCCTGCTTCAGCTGCTTTCAGCTCAGCTCTCCTCTTCTGATTTCACTGATCCATCCGTATTGACCATCATCCAGCCATCCTGTGGGGGAGTCCAAGCAAGATTCCTCTTCTGCTTTCTTTGTTGATCCTTCATAGTGACCCTGCTGTCATTGATCTGGGTTGTCCTGACAATGCTCATCCCAGTAGATATTCTGCATATGCCGACATCTGAGTTAGTGGGAGTTTTTTTTCCACTTGCAGTTTGCAGTAGATAATCTAATACATTCAGCTTTTGCTTATCCACAGCTTTCAGGTGCACTTGTTTATTATTAGGAATGACAGCAGTCGGTTTTGAGGATGTACAATGGATATCCGTTACTCTAATATAGCTAGTTCGTGGTTCTTTTAATATCCATATCTATACAAAATTCAAGCAGTAAATTAAAATTATATTTTTAATATCCATATCTATCCAAATAACAGTTTTTGATTTGTTATTTCATCTAATGTGTTACTATTTGTGAGCATATTCACATTATCAAAGTAAAAAAGTTATAATCACAAGTAATCAATATTAGGAGAAATAATATAAAAGGAATACAAATTCATATAGATATATATGTACTCTGAATGCAAAATATGTTGACAATCACGATTTATATAACAGGTACCTATGCATCTATTCTCTGACAGATTCAGGCACATAGTAGGAAAACCCTAAGTGAAAATTTACAAAGAATATGTTGAGTTTGAAACTAGAACAAAGAAAATTAGTTAGAAACAATACAATTTCTGAAAATATTGTATATGTATAATACATATAAAATATGCTGAGAAAAATAGTGATACTTTTTAAACAAAATACAGTATGCATGCGTATAATAAGTCGAGTTTGGTTTGGACAGTGAGAAAACCATGCCTATCCTTCACCTGCAATATTCGGATTTGAATTTTATCCATTCTCATAAAGAATTCTTCGGATTTGAAACAACCCAATTAATTTGGATTCTCACAGATATTCACCAATATGATTATTTTTGTCATCCCTACTTTTCCAGAATAATAAACAAGTGACATAGAATAGTTATTCTCTAAACAAATAAACAAGATCTTCAACGAAATACATTAATCTAGACCCTAAAGTTTTTGCAAGGCTAAAGTAATGTTTTTTTTTTTGTTTGAAAATCAGATAACAGGATAATAAACCATGAACAGTGAACACTGGTAAATTCTCGACCATTTGTTTTTCTGCAACGCATGGAAAGTAACGAACTTTATTCATCACAAGTGTTGTATAAAATTTGAGATACAAATCACGTATTGACTGCTTGTCTTGGAAGGTGGTGGTGAGGGAAATACACACTCCATTTTTGCTGCAAAACCTGATGAAGAAGCCTCTCGATGAAATGAATGTTGGACGACACAGAAAGAAAGAACAAGAAGAAAAGTTGAAACAACAAGAAGAAATCAAACTTGAAAACCCATATGAGAGAAGAGAACACAAAGAAGAGATCCAATCCACCACCAAATCAATAAGCCTTTTTCTTGGGCTCGAAGGCAAACTCGAGCAGAGTCTCCTTCTTCAGCTTGAGCAACGACCCGTTGTTCGCGGAAGCAGGAGGAGGAGCTGGAACCACAATTTCAGTTTGCTGATCAGTAGCAGAAGTACCGTCATCCGTGCTCATGGTTCGTGGATCATAACTCTTCTCCATTCCAGGGAACATGAGCATCCTTGGGTGCGGGAGCAGGGCTCCAGACACATCGCCCCAGAAATCGGGGTTCGCCCTGTACCACTCCATCGTCTTCCTGAGCCCTTCCTCCCAATTCGTCCTCTCGCACCACCCCAAGTTCTTGAGCTTCTGATCATCCAAGTAGTACCGCTGGTCGTTAAACGGCCTGTTCTCCACAAATTTGATCTGTTCCTCAGGATTCAGCCCAAACAGATTGCAAATGTCACTAGCCACATCGATCACCCTCCTCTCCTTCTTCGTCCCAATGTTGTACACATGCCCAACTTCACCCATGTGGAGCACAACCTCGAAAGCCTCGGCGACATCCTCGCAGTACAGGTAGCTCCTGACGTTGGATCCGTCCCCGTGGATGGGGAGGGGCTTCCCCATCATAGCCAGGAGGATGAATTTTGGGATCAGCTTCTCGGGGAACTGATTGGGACCATAGACATTGTTACCTCTTGTAGTGATAACGGGCAGGCCATAGGACCTGCCGTACGCCATGACCAGCATCTCTGCCCCGGCTTTGGTGGCAGAGTAAGGGTTTGTGGGGAGCAGCTGGGAGGCCTCGTGGTTCCCCACGACGGCGTCCTCGTCGGTCTCCCCGTAGACCTCGTCGGTGCTGACGTGGATGAATCTCTTGACTTGATCCTTCATGAGCTTGCAGGCCTCCAGGAGGACGTGGGTGCCGTAGATGTTGTTCTTGGTGAACTCGAAGCTGTTGCCGAAGGAGTTGTCGACGTGGGTCTGGGCCGCAAAGTGCATGATGGTGTCGATGGACTCGGTGAGGAGGATGAAGTTGACGAGGTCCGCGCTGCCGATGTCTCCCTTGATGAACTTGAAGTTGCCTAGGGACGAGGAGTGGCGCGAGGGGTTGAGGTTGTTGATGTTGGAGCAGTAGTCGAGCTTGTCGAGGACGACGATCTTGTAGTCCGGGTAGGTGCGGATGAGGCGGTTGCAGACGTGGGATGCAATGAAGCCGGCTGCTCCGGTTATGAGGATGTTCTTGGGCTTGTAGGAACCAGCCGTCGGAGTAAACGAACCAGCCATCTGTTTGATGCAAACCATAATTGATTTATCTAATCCACCATAAATTCAGAACCTCCACCACTTAATTCTCGCAGTCATATATATGATTCAGACTAGTGTACCATTAGTATATGCTACATATATCTATTATCGAACAATGCAGCACATCTTCATTGTGTTTTCTCGTTGAATGATGCAGCAGAACATTAGATAATGGTGAAACCAAAATCCAATACAAAAAGAAGAAGAGAAATTGAGACCGAGTAAAGTTTGGTTGATAACCAAGAGAACATAAATTTAAGGACCCACCAAACTGAGGCATACAGATACAGAAGCCAAATTAAAAGGGGACCCAATGCCTAAATTAACAATCCACAGCGATCCTCTGTATGGAGAGAAAGAAAACCCATAAGCCAAACAGAAGGAAAGTTTCTTACTTGGAACTCAGAAAAGTAGCTGCTCCTGCTGCTGCGGTTTTGCAAAGAGAATCACGAATTCCGAATCCCTGAATGGTGGGTTTTTGTTGGATTATGTTTTTTTTTTCTGCGAGGGAAACGGAAGGGAGAGAAGAGAGGAGATAGAAGAGATGTGTTGTGAGGAGGGGAAGGTAGTTCAGGGATGGCATTTATAATGCGGGTAGAGCACCATTACGCCCAGTCTTCTTCTCCCACTCAACTTCTTCCTTCCCACGGGTTTGTTTTCCTTCTGTTTCCTAAAGGTTATTGTCCGTCTTTCTCTTGTTTCCTTTTCTCACCTCGCGCAATTATTTTCTTTCTATGGCGTTCTTGTCAGGTTTTATTAGGGATGGTGATGTGTTTCAGGTTTCGAAAAAGGGGAGGTAAGTTGATTGGGGTTCTCTGTGAAATTTTACCATTCAGAGGAATAATCCTCTTGATTGAGGCAGGATAATAAAGGTATTAATCTGGGTTATTGCTCCTTTTTTTAGCTCTGAATGCTGTCGTGCTACTATGTTCTGGGTTATTGCTCAATTGTGGGAGATGAAGCTTACGGCTACGAACCTAATTAATTAATATATATGGATGAGATATAGGATGTGTTAGGACTTGGGAATTGTTCAATTGTATTGGCAGCTGTAGGCTTCTCGTTGTTGTTGGCTAAGACTATATTGTGTAGCTCTGCGATTTGATGAGAGCACTATGACATGATGTCTGCCAGAGTCTAATTGTCTTCTGTTTGCGTCAGTCTGAAAACTTGTGCATTATTTGTGTTTTACAATTTTTGCTCTTCGATTGTGTAAGTTCGGCTGCTGTTGCGTTTGTTGATGCTTGTTCTGGGATTTCTGAGTATCCAGTCTCGCTGTTAAATCTCAATTGTGTCGACGCTTGAAATGCTCGAGATAAAGGAGAAAGTCCTTGTCAAAAAAGCTTCTCATGAAGTTGGAGAAGTCCAGAGAGTATACACGAGGAGGAAACAAAAAGGGGTAGGATAGCATCATGCATTTGTGATGCTTCAATATAGTATAGATGGTTTGATGATGCAATTGCATTTGGCTTGTCAACTATGTATGTTATACGACAGACCAGCATCCATTTGCCTATTGTGAGTTTTTGTAGGGTGTTCAACCTGTGTGTCTGCACAGGAAAGGAAGAGTCTTTTATTTTTCATGGATGTTCTCACTATATCGACGTGTATTGTTTGTTGGATTGACACTTAACTATGTGTAGACTCGAGGGGTATGCGCTCTCGCTGATGAGTACTGTTTTCTGTAGCTTCCGTACAGTCCTTGAAACGGAAGAGGTTGTATGAACAGCAAGTAGAACAGCTAGGAAATTACCAATTGAGGATTCATGATCAGGTGACCTATTTTTCCAGTGTATGCCACATTTGATGTATGAGCAAGCTCTAGTTATTGGTGTGTTAAATCTTATGTTACAGATGATAATGATAATTTTTAGAGGGCGCAAAAGCCACTACTGAAATTGTAGATGCATTGAGCACGGGAGCAGCTGCAACGAAGGCAATGCAAAATGCAATCGTATGCAGAATTTTTTTATCTGAACTTTATGTCTATGTGGAGAGATATTGTTTAATAAGTTCAAGAACATCTGTGTAATGGTTGTCTTGATTACAGGAATATTGACGACTTAGACTAGACCATGAATGAAGTAAATGAACAATCCGAGAACATGAAACAGATTCAATCAGCATTGTCAACTCCAATTGGTTCTACCGCTGATTTCAATGAAGTTCACATGGATGAATATTTATCGGTTCCTGCTTACCGTTACTGTTTGTGTAATGAAAGACTAAAACACTGGTTGCTCTGCAGGGTGAATTGGAGGTGGAACTTAAAGAATTCGAAGGCGCTGAGTTGGAAGAGCAACCTGCAACCACAGCTCCTGCAGCTCCAGTTCATGCAACTGCAGGCAAACAGCGTGCTCGTCCTATTCAGTAAAGGAAGAATACCGAGGAAGAAGACAAACTTGCTGCTTTACAGGCTGAAATGGCGCTCTAAAGCACAAAGAAACTGCAGATAGTGGTGCACATGAAGTGAGCTGTTATGGAAATGGGATTTTCTCTTTTACAGGTTATGAAATCATGAAGAGTAGGCACCTGTTGCACCAATCCTGTGATCAAATTACGCGTTAGCTTGAATTTGTTTGCTTTAACCGTCTCCATAAAGTGCAGTCAATATGGGGGAGGTTTTTGGTGCCCAAACCATCTGCACTTACTGGTAACTATAGGTGTCAATCGGGCAGGTTCGGGCTGGGTTCAATCGGGTTTGGGTTCAAACGGGTTGCGGGTTCATTGGGTTCGGGTTCAAACGGGTTGCGGGTTAGTCGGGTTGCGGGTTAGTCGGGTTCGGGTTCAATCGGGTTGCCGGCAAATCGAGTTGCGGGTTCATCGGGTTTTGGGTCGGGCGGGTTGCGGGCGGATCGGGTTTCGGGTTGTTCGGGCCAACGCATCAAGTAACTTAACTCATTACTCATTACCAACTTACACATTTTATTACACTAATTTAAAATATTTTCTCAACTTTTTAACCAATTTATTTCTACCTCGTATATATATACTTTATTTTTTTTGAAAAAAACTAGTCAAAATGTTAAATCAATTTGTATGACTTGCAAACTTGTTATGTAATTAATCATAATTGGTAAAGTATTATAGCTAATAGTAATGGTGATATCAATATTTGCAACCAAAAGACACCATTAATTGTTTATTTGATATTTTAGTATTAATTCAGTAGTAATTGGATTAAAGTATCTCGTTTAATATAACCATGCAAATCTGGTATTTGGCGTGTGGTATTTGGCAAAAGTATAGTGATAAAAGGAGTTATTTCGAAATAACTCATTGCCCAAATAACTTCAGGGGTCGTTTGGATGGGTTAATTGTCAATGTGGTATTTCTTGTGTCAAATAACTCATTTATTGCTCATGTGGTATTTCAGTGTTATTTTAGTGGTAATTGAAATAAAGTATCTCGTTTGGTTGACCCATGCAAATGTGGTATTTGACATGTGGTATTTGGTAAAAGCAGAGTGATAAAACGAGTTATTTCGAAATAACACATGAGTATAAGTTATTTCAAATAACTCACTGTACAAATAACTCATTTCAGTAAAACGCTGCCAAACGAGTTATTTGAACCCAAATAACTCATACAAATACTCCATCCAAACGACCCCTCAGTAAACTGTTGCCAAACGAGTTATTTGTAAAATTGTTCAAATTATCCTAAAAATTGAACCATTAAAGATTAGCTATCAAACTTAGTAAAATTATTGTGACTTCAATCATAACTTACTCAATAGCATATATCCTATAACTTAGCCTTACCCTCAATCAACAATATTAAGTTAGTATATGTTGTTGATTGTATACCCTAAACCATCAATACATTATACACTAACCACATAACCTATACCCTAACCATATGTCTTTGAGTTGTGATTTTGCTAGTATAGTTAATTTAAAAGTGAAATTCATACTTTGATTTTCAAAACATAGATAAAAAGTGATATTTGCTAATTGTTATACCCTAACCATATATCCTATACTTCACACCACATACCTTGTATCCTAACCACGTACCATAAACATAAATTAAAAATGGATCTCCTGCCGTTAAAGACTTCAAATGACTTCAAGTGAACATATGTTAATAAAAAACTTGGAACCGTCAAAACCATCAATATCTTATACCCTAACCATATACACCCTAAACCATATGTGTACCTTACACCGTCAAAACCACCAAATTTGTTTCCTTATTTCTTTTCTCAAAACACTACAGGAAAGCAGAGTTTTAGACACAGTATCTTATTCACCGGAATTTTTCCCGACTTAGAAGTATACTAGTAGTCACAAGAAAAATTACTGTAATTAACGATATAGAATTAAATACGAGAATTAATTTAACAATTTTTAGTTTTCATTTACCGTGACTAATTATTAGTCACGATTAATTACCATGAACAGTATCGTTATTTTAGTTAAAAAATGTTTACCAAATTTTAAGTGATTCCTATCCGCCAAAACTTCCCGCAAACATAATTTCATTTGAGCTCCAAAAAGCGGCCAACGAAAATTATCCTGCCCGAGGGATGCGATTCGACCGACCAGGAGGGAAGAATCTCGGAAGGGAATTGTCGAGTCCCCCCAGGCTTTACGGTAAGAAGACTGGAGCAGGAGGTACAAGAAAAGGAGGAAGGAGGCTCGAGGGGAAGGTGGAGAGGGCGATATAGAGAGGCGATGGGGGCGACCAATCTGATCTCGGAGATGAACAGAGCAGCGGCGGCGATGGAGGTTGGGCTGAGACTGGAGGAAGAGAGGGCCGACCAGGAGGAGGATAGGGCCGAACAAGTTGGGGTTTGGAGCCCAGTGAGAGTGGAGACAGCCTTGTCTCTTGGGCCAAGGCCCAACCATCCGAAAAGCATAGGCCAAAGCCCAAATCAAGCTGGAACAGAAGGAATAAGTGACTACCAACATATCCAAGATGGGAGGGAGGAGGAAATGGGCCGACAGCAGAAAAAAAGAAAGGGGATGAGCCTGCTGTGTGGTCTCAGGCCCAGTGATGTGGTAAGGGAAGAGGAAGTGTATTTTAATGGGCCAACAGGGGGTTTTGATTTGGGTGGGCCGGGGTCTGCTCCTAGAAGGAAGAATCTGAAGGCGAGGACCGGGAAGAAGAGTATACCCATTGAGAATCAGGCAGAAAGCGAGCAAGAGGGCCGAGGAAAGAAGAACAAGGCAGCGGTGGTTCGCCAGAAGCCACCTCTAAAGAAATGAGTATGGTAAGTTGGAATTGTAGGGGTTTTGGCCCAACCCTTACAAGAAGTTATGCGAAACGTCTATGTAGACGTTTAGGCCCTTCGATTGTTTTCCTCATGGAAACGAGCAAAAATGAGACATTCATGGAGGAGCAAAGAAGAAGTCTCAGAATTTTCCCCAACAAAGAGTATGTCGAACCGGTTAACTCTTCTAGGGGCTTTGCACTTTGGTGGAAAGCGGGTATTAGTATTAATATAATTAGTAGTGATAGCTATTATATGGATTGTAGTATCGATATGGGTAGGAAGTTCTTCTGTACTTTTGTTCATGCACCCTCTACAGCGGTTAGTAGAAGGGAATTTTGGGAGCACCTGAGCTCGCTTCGGAGTAGTAGGGAGGATAACTGGGTGATTGTAGGAGATTTCAATGCTGCTATCTATGAAAGTGAGAAGGAAGGGAGATGCCCTCTTAGGTACGAGAATGTTGAACCGTTTAAAAGATTTATTTTCGACAATGCGCTTATTGATCTGGGCTTTAAAGGGGATCCGTTCACTTGGACCAATAAGCGGATAGGAGAAGATACAACCAGAGTCCGACTTGATCGAGTCTTGTGTTCGCCATCGTGGAGAGCCCTCTTCGGAGAGGCAGTTGTTTTCCACGAAAAGATGGTGGCATCGGATCACTGCCCTATCAGGCTGGAACGTTAGATAAGGAGGAATGTAAAGAGATAGTGGTCCGGGCATGGGATCCAGGAGGGACATCGACAAACCAGTTGGCAAAATGCGAACAAGATCTTAAAGAATGGTCAAAAGACTTCCATAGGAACAGTTTACAAAGAGAGAAGGATATTTTAGAGCGTTTGGATTTGCTCCAACGTCCTCCAAGAACCCAGGAAAGAGTGGAGGAAGAAAAAAATCTCATCGAAGAACTAGCCAAGATGTGGAGGGAGGAGGAGGAATTCTGGAATCAGTGCTCAAGAGTTAGCTGGCTACAGAAAGGAGACCGGAACAATTCCTTTTTCCATTCTAGCACGATCCATAGGAAGCATAAGAATAGAATCCTTAGGCTTAAGGATGAGGGAGGGGAATGGGTGGAGGACGAAGATAGGCTTAAAGGTTTGGCTCAGGATTTCCACAAAGATCTCTTTAAAGCCAGAGACCCTATTCCTTACTCTCACCTACTGGAGGGGTTCCCTGAAAAGGTTACGGATGAGATGAATACAGATCTATGTGCCCCAGTGACAGGAGATGAAATTAGGAAAGCGGTTTTCTCGTTGGGAGCAAAAAAGGCGCCAGGCCCGGATGGTTTCTCGGGTAGATTTTACCGAAGATTCTGGGATATTGTGAGAGATTCAGTGTGTAGAGAGGTGAAGGAGTTTTTTGAGACAGCAGCTATGCCAAATGGATGGAATGATACTCATATCGTCATGATCCCTAAAGTGGACCACCCAGAGGTGATTAGCCAGTTCCGACCCATCAGTTGCTGCAGCTTTAGATATAAAATTATTTCGAAGATCACGGCAAATCGCCTGAAGATTTGGACGCCTAATCTTGTCTCGGAGCTCCAAACTGCTTTCACCGGAGGCCGGCTTATCCAAGACAATGTCATTATTGTCCACGAGGCACTACACCATTTCAAAAATCACAAGAGGGGAAGGAGAAGGGACATGATGCTCAAGTTGGACATGAAAAAGGCGTATGATATGGTGGATTGGGATTGTCTGGAAACTCTGCTGAAGAAGTATGGTTTTGACGACAGATGGTGTCGATTGGTCAGCTCGTGCATCAGGACGGTCAACTTCTCCATCCTTTTCAATGGGGAAGCAACGGAGGAGTTCAAACCGTCAAGAGGAATCAGACAGGGAGACCCTCTCTCTCCTTTTCTCTTCATTCTTATGTCTAATGCTCTGACATTCCTGATCGACAAAGCGGTTTCACAAAATCAGTTAAAGGGTATAAGGTTGAACGCGAGATGCCCGATTCTCACTCACTGTTTGTTTGCAGATGATACGGTGATCTTTGGTAAGGCTGACCTTCAAGAAGCAGAGAAAATTCTGGACCTTATCAGAGTGTATGGTACTATCACGGGCCAAGAACTGAACATCAACAAATCATCTGTTTTCTTCCGTGCGAATGTACCAGAGGGGGACAGAGATACAATCATTGGTCACATCGGTTTTGCCTCATCGAACTGCCACTCCAAGTATTTAGGAGTACCGACGGAATGGGGGAATTCGAAGAAGGAAACCTTCCAATTCCTGATCCAGAGAATGAAAAAGATGGGTGAAGCATGGAAAAGTCTCCTCCTCTCGCATGGAGGGAAA